GCAGAACATTGCTGTGGTTAAATGCGTGACTGGAGTCAGACTGCTCCATCTGGAGTTCTGGCCGAGTCTTACGAGCTGTGTGACCTTGGGTGAGTTGCTTAACCTCTCTTTGCCTCCATTCCTCTTTTGTAAAATGGGGATAGCGTATCATCTACTTCTGGGTTGTTATGAAGATGACATGAGAATATTTGTAAATCATTTAGAATAGTGCCTAGTATAGTAATAAGCATGTGTTAATCATAGTTTAAAGACTAAGCATTCAATTTATTTGCTGAAGAAGCAGATCTTGTCAGATCAATTTGATTATCTTTGAGAGAAACAGGTAAGTGATTCGTGAGGTACTTTTCCTCGGAATTCTCATTATCAGGCTAGGAAAATGCAGCCTTAACCACATAGGTGAAGAGTCTAGAGAAAAGATGGGCTGAGGAGAGATGTGACGACACCACAGGGCTGAATCGTGGTTGGTCCTGAGGCTAAGAATCACCACCGCCATTCCGCTCAGTCCCTTGGTGAGTGACACACAAACCTACCGAGAAAGTGCTCAGTGCAGATATGTAGAGAAGGATTAATTTAGGATGGGCTGTTAACACAAAAAGAGACATTAAAGTTTCAATAATCTAAAACATTAGACAAAATGATTCTATAAAAACAGCATAAGGTCAATAGCCATGAAGTAAAATAAAACCACACACACACACACTAAACACAGAGGGAGTGACTGGATTGCACAATTCTAGTCAGCTGGGACCCATAATCACTCTGGAAGTGCAGGCAGGGTACTGCGATGAATGTCACCACAGTAGGAAGCCTCCATTCTGCCCTAGCACATAATCAAAAGCACACAACACGCAGTGCCAGAAAACAAGCATTAAGCCCATTTTCTGAATGAATCAGGATGCCAAAGGTCCTATGTCCGATCATCATTCATAAAGCGTGGCCGAGGAAGCTGGCCCCGAAAGGAAGGAAAACAGTGTATGAGGAAATACCGAAGGTAGTCATTCTGTCTGGAGAAGAGAAAGCTGAAATGGTACTAAAAATCGTTGAGAACGAAAGAATTTTTTTCCCCCTCAGTATCATGCCTGTAGGAAATTGAGAAAATAGAACCAATGAAATTCATTACAGTCATAAAATCCTTTTACTTGTGGACAGATGATTATGTCAATGTGCTATGAAAATGAAAGCCTTATATAACTCTAAGCGGGGGTCTCAAGATTTCTGCCCCATAGCAAATGTAGATGCCAGAGCACATATGCTCAGGGCAAAAAAATGACAGTTGGTTTATGGTTTTCAGTGAATTCTGCTTATTCTTTATATCACTTGTCTCAGAATGTGGGAGCCATTTGTCTCATGTAATACGAAGCCAGTGCATTTAACTGTAGCACATTAATAGTCATGAACAGTAGAAAGTTTGAGAGTAATAAGGAATACAGTGGCCAGCTTTAAAAGCTTTGCTGTTTTAGTCATTTGATATTAAATATAATTATACTTTGGGATACTTCGAAATCTTAACAAAAATCACCTATTATCATTTACTGAAATCACACACACTGCTTCTCATTCAGTAGCTTAGCAGAGCTTGGTTGCCTGGGTTAGCAAATTAGTGTTCTTAGGTGTGTGTACTATTACAAAAAGAATCTGCCACTTCAGCACAAGGGTTTGTGAAACCATTCTATTAAAAACCAAAAGGTAGTGATTAAGACTCTATTACATTCATGTAATAGAATGTACACTTGCTTCATAGCACCCATCACAGGCTTGGTTCCACATAGCTAATTCACAAATATACAAACAGTCCCTGCTTTCGGCTATTATTCTTCCTTTAGTGAGAAGCCTGCTCTTCCACCTCTTTCCGGGAGGTGAAGGTTATCACACAAATTGCATTCAACTTTCGTTTCCTCTTTTCAGACCAGTTTTCTCAGTAAAAATAGTGCCCCCTTCCCTGTTTCAATTTAGATTAAAACAACAACAAAAAAAGGCTTTCAGGAATCATCACCATTAACAATTGCTGACCTCTCACCATGCACAAGGGTATTTACTGTGGGGGACCCAAAGGGCTACATCAGATAACTCCTCTGTGGGCATTTAAATGGAGACAAAGTAGCAGTGAATACCAAGTAGACAGAAAATACAGCAAGCTCGACGAGAAGGTGCAATTTGGAAAGATCTCATAATCTTGACCCTTAACCTGATCCTTGAAGGTTGAATTTAGACAGGGGAAATGGGATGGGCAAAAGTACATCCATGGGAATGGGCAAATCTATCGAGGGAGGTGATTAGGCCAGTTTAGTGTAAGAGTATTTCGTTGGAAAGTAATTAAACATCCTGAAGAGGTAGCTAGAGAACAGACTACAGATCTTACGAGAAAGCCCAGTCAGCGATGGGGAAACGGTAAAGATTTCTGAACAGGAGTGTGGACCAACTTGGTGTTTTCTCTTTAATCTAGCTGCAGTGCACGGAGGTGTAAGCTGGAGGAAGGAGAACCAATTAGATGAGTGTGAAAAGACAGGAAGCCTACTAAGACCTTATGAGTGGACTCATGGAGGGGAGTTGAAAGTCCTTTCTTTTTTTAATCTCTGGGAAGCATTTCCATGATGAAGACACTGCAGTATGTGTACACTGTGCTATGAGGTCAAGACACATTTTTGGAATGCAGATCAGTAAGTTGGAATGGTCCCATAATGTCACCGGGATCAGAGGAAGGAAGTATTCTTGACCTTAGAAAAGGAAAAGGAAGAAAGAGATCTGTAAAGAGAGGCTAGCACCTTGGATCAATTCTAGGCTTAAAACAAATATGCAGTTGTGCAAACATTGGGGTAAGTCCTTTGAAGAAAGTTTATTTTCCTGGAGAAATAATTTGTTGTGATCCATCATAAAATGTACATTCTTTAGATAGCTGGACATATAACAGAAATATGAACACACTCGATCTTCAGGTCAGCATAATTTTATCTTTGCGAAGCAACCAACCTTTTGCAAAGGTATTCAACCACAGTAACTAAAATACCAAATTCTGACCCACCGAGATGTCTCTAGACAAATTCAGAGAAATAGTAAACTTACCGTTTTGTTTATTAATACTGTTGAGGAAAATGCTTTAAAACCCATTCATAGAAGAACATGACTGTTTTAGGATAATCGTTTCTAGTGAGAGAAGGCGTTGGCTCAGGCAGTTCATAATAGTCCCCTTAACATTCTTGTAACGTGGGTTTAACATTAATATAATTACTTTCATTTCGTAAGGCAGAGAAATAGACAGCAAGGGACACTGCCAGGGTTATAGAGAAAATTTGGGGAGATGCCTGAAATTGACCCCAACTGTCCTCATGAGATTTGTGAGGTCTATCTGGGGAACAAGGTGCCATAGTGTTAAACACGCAATAGTTTTTGTAGCCTTTCCAAGTTACTAGGTAAGTCAATGAACTATTATAATACAACATGGCAATGCTATTTTTGAACCGGTAATATAGAAATATAGTTACAAACACAATGTGTTACCAAGCATTTTTACATGATTAACTACACTCCCTTAAAACAAAAACACAGCTTACTACATATTGAGGGGGAAAAACCCAACTTAATATAAAGCTACAAAATTGTTTTCTTTAGAAGTCCTTTCTTTTCTCTGTTGCCTAATTATACTTTCAGATAGAAGCAATAAAAATTAAAATGCAGCTGAGCCATTTCATCTTCAAGTAAAATGAAAATAATTGCGACTTCTAAAAATGGAGCCAAAAATGTGTCACATGTTACAGAGAAATAGAAGCATTTTGTAATATTATATGGGGAACTATGCTAACACCGAGCAGCAGACATTAAATGTGGAATGGCCTTGGGTGCCACTACAGATTTAATATTATTTTCTAAGGCCAACTTCAATCACTCATGGACTGCATATTATATATTACAGTTCATTTCTTAAAACTACCATTGCTCACACCATTTCCCACTGACACTGAACGAGGACAGAGAAAACTCTGAAATGTCAGTCTACTATGCTATTTATAAATGCTTTGATTAAAATGTTTACAGTTAATATCCAATACAGTTTTGGACTATAGTTTCCTGTATAATTTTAATTCTCTAATATAAAGTCTGTTAATATTAGACTGTAGGTACATCCAGATTAGTCATTTAAAAAATAAAAAATTTAAAAGAAAAATTTGCAATATGATATGCGTCTCTGTATAATGTTATCAATGATAGTAGATACTGGTCAACATTTTAATGTAAAAGTTTTCCGGTCAAGTCCAGTTTACATGAACTGTTAATTATCCACCTTCCCTTTAAGAATCGAGAATGTCAGTACCTAAAAATAACTAGTGATGAGGAACAGAAGTCCATCTTTCCATCTAGGTTCTTAGTACCTGTAACTGAGTTTTAGTGCAGTTCCTGAAAGGTGGTCTCCGGACAGCCAAGGTGCCCAGGTCTCATATTCCCTGGCAAAGGGTATTTCTGTCCCACTAGGTTTAAAAGACCAATCAAGGCAAGGCAGGGTTTTCTACAGCGACATCATAAAGATGTCAGTGAGTGCTATTTTGCTCATTTCAAGCTCAGAAAAACTGAGTCATAATTTTTTGAAAATTGTTAATATAAAAGGTTCTCTTCAGGAGAAGCACCACCCTCCTCAGGCCCTAATACATTTTTTGAGAGAGCAAATATTAACTAAATGACTACTCGGGCTAACTGATCCAAGAAATCACATTTCTAACAATGGAGTAAACTTTAAAAACTCAAAAAGGAAAAACTAAAATAAACTATGGAAATAAAGCTATATTCATTTTTTCTTGCTCAGCTGAAACATGACTGCTTTCTTTTATCAGGTAAAAAGCAGCTTGGGGAAATTGATAAAATAATCCAAGAAATTCAGTTGAATATCATGATGTCATGAGAAGACTCTAGAGAATGAGTTTTCTCTGGTTTTAATTAACTATCAAATGTTCTGCTGGGGCATAATATATCTCCTCTTCCATAAACTTTAAAAACAAGTCACAAAATCCAAATTAGAATATAAGTTTTTTTAATTTTTATAAATAACTTATCTGTTACAAAGATAGTTTACCCAGCTAAATCACAAAACCATCAACTCAAGATATCCAAATTACGTTTTATTAATATAACAAGTAAAAACTGATTTATCGATCTTCACATAGAACTGCAGATGAAGCTGAAAAACAAGGCCTATTTTTAAAGCAAAATGCATCAAATGTAAGGGCTTTGGGTCTACTGTCTAATTAAGTAGGATTGTCATATTTCTTCCCATATACACAATGCAAAGCCTAAAAGTCAAGGCTTTGACATTCATATAGATCACCTGTGGTATTTTCATTTAAAAAATATCCATTTGCAAACATTTACAGTGGGTGACAGTTTACATTATCTCCTATATTTTGCTATATTTCAGCACTTCCCTTAGCCCCATTCTAAGCACTGATATATAATTTCATAATTTTGTCTTTTTAAATGCATACTGTTTTTTCTTGATTTCATTTAGTTATATACATTCCTGATCATCTGAATAATTATTTTCCTTATAAAAATATATCATCAAAATAAAGAGATGCTTGAGGTTGCTTCAGTGTTCAAGTTTGCTTTTTTTTCCAGCTTTTCTTCAGTTGTCCTAAATACGACTAGCCTTGTTTTATAAATACACATGATACTGCCACCAAGTCAGGTTTAGAAACGAACAGTAAAGCATTTAACTTCTCTCAAAATAAAAAAAAAAAAAAAAAAAAAAAGGGCTGTAGCTGGTTTTGAGACTGTACTTTCCCAAGAGCGATCTCCTGTGAAAGTTCTGTGGGACACCAGGTAGATGGAGCGAGTTTAACCTTGTTGCTGTCAGTGGGTTAAAAATATCTTTTGTTTTAAGCTTCCCTGTGGAAGATAAAACACTGTGTTGTGTCACCCACTGCTAAAGTCAGTATATAGTGTGACCTGGGCTGTAGCTGGTTTTGAGACTGTACTTTCCCAAGAGCGATCTCCTGTGAAAGTTCTGTGGGACACCAGGTAGATGGAGCGAGTTTAACCTTGTTGCTGTCAGTGGGTTAAAAATATCTTTTGTTTTAAGCTTCCCTGTGGAAGATAAAACACTGTGTTGTGTCACCCACTGCTAAAGTCAGTATATAGTGTGACCTATAGACTAAGTCTTGTAATATTTTCTGCAATTCCCTGTGCAGCAGCTGTATGTCTTCACAGAATATCGGCACTCATGAGGGCAACGTACAGAATAAGTAGAGGAAAGTTATTTTGTGCATAGTTTCATTTCATTAATGCTTTTTTATTTTAAGGCATTGGTTCTTTCAGGTAAGGCTTAAAAAGGGACATGATCGTGCTTAATCACTAAAAGGAAAAAAGAAAATTAGTTAACAAAAGACTATTACACTATACATATAGAAATATAAGAAAATAATAAAGGAGAAAAGAAATCACTTAAAGCAGACTCAAGAGATCTGTACAGTAGGAAAAGCTCTGGGATATTTCACTGCATGTTTGTACAGACAATGCATGCTGCTTTCCTCTTCATCTTTAGACCCTAGATGCTGGCTTCAGAGTGGAGACGTTTTCAGGGAAGACAAAGATGAGGCCAAGAGTACCACAGATTCGTGAAGTTCCTCCCCCATCCATTGGCACTATGCGGCAGCAAACAGTTTTTAAATAGTTAAACCTTGTTCCTTTTCTTCATGTTTGTAGTGTTTCACCGGAAGCTTTAAAAAAAAAAAGCCATCATTCCATTCCTTCCTCCTGTCAAAATTCAGTAGTGACATGAGGGGAAAAAGGTACTGGGAACACCTAGGCATCAACACATGGAGAATGATTCATAACGGGCTACTGGTTAACACTGTACATGGCTAGGCAGTGGGCAACCAAGTCTTTCAGCAGATTACCTTTCATGTGGTGAATTTCAACTGCCCGTGACATTAGACTGAGGTATTATTAGCTCTGTGGGCTGACATTTAACATTAGCACAACACCATCTTGTCACACCTTCGATCTGACAAAATCCTATGTAGCAGTGAAACTTTTCCCCTGATGACAGACTAGTTTCTTGAACTTCAGATGTGGTTTTATAGAAGATATAGGGCCTTTTGGCTCAGAAATGCCTTGGCATCTCACACTGTTCACAGCGAATTAAGGCTGGATGGTTCAAAAAGGTACAGGCAGTACAATTCCACTGAGCCCCCTCGTCATCTTCTGTATCTTGAATCTTTGGTGTTTTGATGGTGGACCTTTGATCTGTAAGGAAGCAAAAGAATTATTTTAGAAGCAAAAAATCACAAAGTCATAAATTACTGCCAATTTTAAACACTACTTGTACCGCACAGCATCAAGCCTTGCTTGTTAACCAAATGAAGCATCTAGCTGAAACTGACACACATGCTTGACCCTCACCAACCTCTATCAAGCAGGTACTTCTCTGCTGAGGAATAGCAACATGGATATGATGCAACCACCTCGTTATCTCCCTAAAGGGGAAAAAAGCATCATTTTCTCCAAATTATAGCTGGAGAAAAGGGAAATCAATTCATATGGTAACTGATAGCAAAGATTCCCATAATGTCACCTGAGACTGTGAAAAGGTGTCCTATTACAATACAATACTGACAGTGAATTTAAGTCTCATTAAAGTTAGAGTTTCATTTCCAACTGAAGTAATATTTACAATTCTGTTTTCTATTAGGCATGAAAGTTTTTGTTAAATGTTCTCTATCTGTGGAAAATGTAAGCCTTGAACAATGACACATATAAAATAAAAAGATGAACTAATATCTATAATCTTATTCAACTATACCTCAAAAACAGACCCTGGAGAAGTAAATCGGTATAAAAAATTTAGCATACTTTATTTCTCATTTTATTTTTAAATCGTATTTATTATGGAACAGTAGAAAGAACACTAGATTGAAAGCTATGAGGATGCACTTCTGCATCTGGCTCTGCTACTAACGCCTAATTTATTTGCTCTGTGATCTTAGATAAATCACATACCATCTCGGTTTAATCTTTCTTACTTATAAAATAAAGTTACTGCAGCTTTAAGAGGCCAATGTTCTAGAATGTTTGAATGAACAGAGGAATCTTAAATACAAGGAATAACTATATTCCTCCAATGTTGCATCTAAAATGAAATTACATTTATTGAACTTTTTTTTGAAGGGGGTCCCATTATAAATTTAGAATAGTATTCCTACAAATTAGTTTTGGGACATTTTAAAGTAAAAGGAGCATGCACTATTAGGTTTCTCCTGTCAAGGTTTAAAATTTAATGATTCAAACTATTAAAACAATGTATATTAATTTGCAAATTCCACCTACTAGATGGGAACTAAATGATACCTTTTCTGCTACTTTAAAAGACAAACTATTATATTTAATAGATGAAAATATAGGAAGTTTTTACAAAAAATTTAAAATAATTAAGTGATCGTTTGTATTGTATCTCTTTTGTAGCACCTTATTTACTGGTTAGTCTTAAAGAACATTTTATTGCAAAATTCCCAACTTTAGGCATTGGTCAATTTTTAGGCATTATGACAATTTTGCCACATGCATGAGCAACTTGAGGATATTATGTATATAGTAATATTTTTAAAATTGAATAATTTTAAAACAAGGCTTATCTAGGAAAAAATATTTGAAAAATCAAGGGTCTGACAATACTAGTTAGTATCCCCTAAAACACATTAAAATCAATACAGTTAAAAAAAGTTTAACTTTTTCTCATCGGAAATTATTTCACACTCTTTATAGAATACTTGTTTTAATTTGGGGATCCATCCTACTTACCAGAATTCTAGTCTCACTCAGGTGTTAGAAAACATTCCACCTGGCACATTTTTAGTAAAACTTTGTTTATCCTTTTTGTTTAACTACAAAGGTTTTTTAGATAGGGGGACCACTCACTCTATATTAACACTTCGATCTAGGCATCGTCTTCACTTTTCTTTTTAATGAAAAATCTCCAATGGTTTTCTTACATCTGCACAATCTCATTTGGCACTTAGAATTATAAATCTTTTTATTCGAGGTATTTGGAAACTAAACCACCATAATTGAAAAAAGAGGAAGTTACACTGCAAAAGATGGCTTGTAATTTCAGCTGTTTAAAAAAACTGCCTTGTGAAGGAGATCTGATTTTAAGAACTAAACAAACCTCCATTAGGGAAACTAGTAACTCTCCATTTTAGCCTTAAGGCAAAAATGATTGACCTGTTATTTCACCAAAAACAGCCAGCACACAAGCTTCCACCTTTCGTAAAAAAGCTTTTAAGTAATGATTTTTTTTCTTTTTACTATGAAAAATTTCAAACATATATACAAAAGTAGAGAGAATAGTAAAATAAACCCTTATCAAGACTGATCTTATTTATATCCCACCTCTCCGCTACCCTCAACACAGAAGTATTAAATTATGTTGAAGCAAAACAGGAATATTTTCATAAGAAAAATCCCAGTTTTTGAAAGAGTAAAATGATAGTGAGGCAACGCATTCAGAGTCTGAAACCTCCCCTCCGCTTATTCTAAGGAGGCAGCTATGCCACCGTTTTCTTTATTCCTTTATTCAATTAACACTGAACAGCATCCAGTGTTTGACTACTTGGTTACTGTGTCAAACGCCCTAATCTCACTTCTGCACCTCTGTAAGAACAGTTCATTATAATCCAGCTATGTTTAAAAACATGAGTTAAAAAAAAAAATGAAGATACAAATAGGCATAATTAAATTATATTTAAACAAAAATGAAAGAGTGACGAGAACAGGCTGCTGAATGAGAATGTTAAAATTCTTGTAACAAAACAAAGAATGAGTAACATACTTGGCCTTTCTTCTTCCCATTTCTATGTATTTTTTAATGCTTGGAGTAAAAAACCCACACACATTTTGACATTTCCTAGTTTGGAATGCAAATAGTCTCAGTTATAAATCAGTGATGTAAAATGACTGATAATTTTCAAAAATTATTCATCTGGAATTGAGTATTTGATTATACAGAGTCATGTATAAATTAAACAGGATACTCATAAAAAATAAACTTCCCTAAGGTATCTTCCTCATCATTTGTCTAAAATTATAAAGAATACTAGTGTTTGCACTGGATTATTTTGGGGCAGGGAGAGGGGTGAGATTCGCTATTCTGGGAGTGTGTGATGAATCCTAAGGACATTCATACTACTTTTTAAGAGCTAAATACATTACACTTTTGCATCTTCCCCAATCCCTAGCATATAAGTAAAAATAAATATCTTCCTAGTGAATCCGTCCAAGAATGCCAAAGTTTGCTAGAGTGGAAGTTTGCTAAAAATAAAATTTTCTAAAATCTTGTTTTTTCAAAATGTAACAGTTTTCACACTTAATGGATACACTAACCTTTGGGTTTTGGTGGCACGGGACCTACAAATCCAATATTGTCATAAAAGTTATGAATAGCGCTGGGATTAAAATGTGGTCCTGAAATATATAAAAAGTAAATATATCAATGTTTATAGCTTAAAAATATTTATTTTTTAAAAAGCAAATATTTTATTTCTAAAAAATAATCACAGAAATGCTTTTCATTTATTTTACACCTCTATTCTCAGATTATATGTAAGGATTTCAAAACAGCTGAGTAGGCATAATATAGTACTCACAACAGAGGTCTAAGTGGTAAATTGGGGAAGAAGTCATATGCTAGTAAGACAGTAATATAATTAGAACCAGACCCCTGTACTATGAAACAAATTAAAATAACTAAAAATTTAAGGATTTAAAATATAATTTTAAATGATCAAATGTGGACTTAAGCAACTAAATAGCTTGGCCCAAAGTAAGTATAAAAACCTTGCACTGATGTAATATAGAGGTTCAGATTTTAAACAAAAGGAACAAGTTCAGGACTATAGTTTCTAGACCAGCCCTAACTTTTTCTCTCCAAAGTTAAATTAATGTATTTTTCTATGAATATTTCAAGATAAATAGTTCACTGACGTTTTCAAATAAAATAAAACAAATCATCTTTCAGTTTAATGGATTCTGGCACAAAATCAAAAGTACAAGAACTTTTTTTGTTGGCTTCCTTCTCTTTCCTATCTTTTCCATTTTATATATCTCTATTATTTCCTTAACTTCAGAATTAGGTTTAAGTTATAAAATTTCCTTTTAATTGTCTATGGAACTGAATTAAATTTTAAACATTTTTTACCACAATAAGCAATGATTGCTTGTCAATAACAGCTCAAGTATAATAAACAAATTATTCTAATAATTTTATAAACCACTTTTTATTCTCTTCTCTATTTTGTCAATTAAGATAATGTCATTAGGGTGGAGGTGCCTTTTAAATTATGTTTTTAAAAGCATAATAATTGAAAGGTAAAAGAAAAAAAGGGAAATACAAAAAAGGTGTATGAGTACATATATTTTAATCCTAATAAATATTATTGTAACACATTCTACTAATACATAATAGCAATACTTTCCACAATACATGGGAGATACTAATCCTTGTCTTCCTTTAACACATGAGTAAAGCAGATTTGAAGGATATAAAATATATCGAATTACTCCTCAACCAAAAACATACTTTTTTTTGCGGGGGATGGAGGGTGGGAGGTGGGTAGAGGAAGACAGAAAACCCCAATAGTTCTTTAGCACTATCTGGCTCCAAAGCCAAATGTGAGACGGTAAGATTATGATTGATAAATCTGTTTTTCACCACAGGAAAAGAGTTGGTAAATTTATACAATGAATTTCAGCTGAGTATGCACTGAACTTTACCTCGGGCTTGAAAAAGATCAATTTCTTTGGTTAAGCAGTCAATGTCAATCTGGAGTTGTCTATTACAACTTCTCAACTGCTGCATTTCTTCGAGCTGAAAGATAATTCCACGTGAGAAGGATCTACATTGAATTCTCGTGTCATTAGTTAAGAAAGAGTAGAGTTTGGCAGGGGAAGGTAAGAAGAGAAAAACAAGTATGAATTAAGAACTTTTCAGAAAACTAGATCAAGCTTTTATACTTACGACATACCGCCTATTCTCATGTTCAAGCACAGAGGTCACAATAGTTAGAGAAAGACTTACTGAAGGTATCTGGGATATGGAATTCGATCTTTTCAGGCGCCTTCGAGTTAGATTATTTTCCATTTCATTGACCTCAGATTTTAGTTTATCCAGCTTTTTCTTTTGAACCTCAAGTTCTCTTTGAAGTCGTTCCATTCTGGCCTTCTGGTGTACCAATAGAGCTGTAATACATATTAGTGAATATGATGACCCACACCTTTAAGCAGCCTTGGGAAAACAAAACAATGAATAATATTTCTGTGACAAGAGTTTACCAGGAATCTCAAAGATACATTAAAACAAAAGATTGTGAGTTTTTTTTTTTTAAGCCTACAGCACCCGGTATTCCCAGATGGTCTCCCATCCAAGTACTAACCAGGCCTGACCCTGCTTAGCTTCCGAGATCAGATGGGATCGGGCTTGTTCAGGGTGGCATGGCCATAGACAAGATTGTGAGTTTAAATATTTAAAATTTCAAAATTTTAACTTGAAAATTATTTTAATTAGGTGGACAAATGTCACTCACTTTAACCTTTTTTTTTAGGGTTTAGATAAACCCACTTTATGCCAAAGACAGCATTTGTAGCCCATTACTTCTCTAAAGGCTCTAGTCTAGTCAATTAACTCACTACTATTTAATTCATATGTGATCTTCTGAAAGGATAAGCCCTTCTACTCCAAAAAGTCCAACATGTTTGGACTATGCATGTTATTCTAATAGGAACATTTTATAGATATTTTAGAAGGGAATGTGGGTTATGTTGAATCCATTTTGATATATGCAACAAATGAAACATTGATTTTAATCTACATGAATGTTCAAATTGCAGAGTAAAAACTATATACCATTTAGAGAAATCACACACATATGTTCCAATTACCTTTTGTAAAAATATTTTCCAAAGATTTTTCAAGAAAGAAAATAAGCAATCAATCTTGCAGCATGAATGATGAACTGCCTGGAAAACCTAATAAGGCATAAAAATTGACAAACATTCTTATGACCCATCCCTGCATAATATGAACCTTGTTTTTTAGGGTACTGGACTGAAAGTGAAGATACCTCAATCTACTTCTATATTCAGTCTGGTAGTGTATTCTAGAACCATAATTAGGGTGTGGGATTGGGGAAGCTGTTCGGCTCAAATACTTCACAATTAACTTTAAAAAGATTTTTCTTCCACAAAAAACTTGACACTAATAATCCACAGATTTTTTCCCTCTGTAATTTTCCTTATTTATTGGAAGAAACACATACAAGGGCATTATGTTTCAAGTTTTAAAAACAATGGCGAATTCTCAGAAACACTAAAATCCTGGTACCCTCTCTGCTAATTTTATATTCCGAGAACACAGGGAGGTCTTTCTGGAGGTCTGCATGTTCCTGGCTGAAAACCTGCTATGTCTCTGCACATCTATACCTACTCTAGCTTGTTCTGTCAAGCCTATGTTAATTTAGATTATTTTATTTGACTTGTGGAGTTTTATCCCTCTATTACCAAAATATAAGAATTCTGCATTAGGGTTTATTTATTCTCCTAAAAGATAAGCACGTGGGCTTTTATTTTTTGAGTGGGACAATAAGAGAAGAAAAAGTGAAGGCAGGAAGTGGCAAGTTAAAGTAAAACTAGGAGTAATATACTTTTCCTCATTTCTAAATTCCAATCACCTACCATTATATCTCAAATAGCATTAATTAGAAACTTGTTCAAATTAATTATTTTATTTAAAAGCAACATTTCTTAAAATTAATGCTAGAAATTTTCTCCCAAAAAGTTTTTTTTTTTTTTTTGCTAAATATGTAAAAGAAAATTTAAACACATTTTGATAGTGGTTCCAATGACTAAATGATGGTTTATGTTTATGCTGAAATTAGAAAACAAGATATATATTTGTGATATTGTTTAATATTATATGTGGAGAGAAACTGCAATCCACTTTATACCACACTTAAGTGATCATAATTTATACCATAAGGGCAGAGAGAGAGTTCAGGGTGAGATTATTACAACAATCAGTCCCAGGCTGGTGATTTCCTTTGGGAGCCTAGCAAAAGCAAATGCAAACTGCTCTGGTGACTGATTTCTACTACCAGGAGGTACTACTATGGAATCCATAAAGGAAAAATCCTCAATGAAGAGAAGTTCTCAGAAGAAAAGTGACCAAACAAGAAAATGATCTACCATGAGAATCAATGGCCTGAAAGGATCCCCCCACCGCCGACCCATTTAAAGATTACGTAACAGTCTGAAAGAAGCTATGGAAAAGTCTGTTTAAGATGATTATAGTGATTAAAAAACCCAAGAATATAACAAAAAAATAAGACACTGTGACTAATAGAATAGACAGATTTGGAAAAGTACCATAACCTCTTAAAATGAAAAACAGTTATTGGAATGAAAAAGCCAAACAGATAAACAGTAAATCAAATATAGTCAAAGACACAGTTAGTGACTTGGAAGATAGATCTAAGATTATTACCCAGTACACACAGAGATTAAGTGATAGAAAACATGAAAGAGGAATAAAAAAATCTCACATAAATCTGAAAAAAAAAAAAAAAAAAAAAAGAGTTCCCGAAAAATACAAGAGTGAATGGGGGAGGGGCAAAATTGGAAGAGATACTGCTGAAAAAATTTCCAAAATTGAAGAACTAATAGATTCCAGAAGATAGAGGGATAATCTGTTCACCTAAATTATCAAAGTATGGATGAATAAAGACATATCCAGATAAAGTCTGGGAGAATTTACCAACCACAGACTGCTGCTGAAAGAACTACTCAAAGAAATTAATACAAAAGGGATAAGATGAATAAATCTAAAAAAGGAAAAAGACCATGGTAGTGGGTGAGGCGGCACAGACTGTTTAAAACAAAGGAAAACTAAAATATTAGAAAATAACAAGAAATTGGACATATGAAGATCAGAGGGGAAGCATTCTGAGGTTTTGAACGTGTTTATGAAGAATACTTCCAACTGTTGCTAAACCAAATATACATGTTAAAGATTTAAGGATCACTAGTAGAGAATGCTAAATAAGATGCAGTTTCTAAATTAAAAGACTGAACAAATGGAAAATCAATAAAATTTGATTAAAACTTACATGGCAGTAAAGGAAGAGAAAAAGGGAAAAAACTGGAAAACAAACAAAAAATGATGGGAATAATTCAAATACATCAGTAATCACAATAACTACAATCTAATTAAATGTATCTATCTGTTAAGATGCAATAGATCAGCAGACTGGATTTTAAAAATTCAGCTATATGCTATTTATAAGAAACACTTAAAACATAATTCACTAATCCATTCTTAATACACCTAGAGCCTATTACGTGTCAAACACTGTTGTAGGCACTTGGGAAATGAATGAACAAAACAGGCAAAAAATCCCCTGCTAGAGCTTATATTACAGAGGTGAGGGGTAGGGGTGGTGTAGGAACAAGGCTCTAAATAAGGGGTCAGCAAACTATGGCCCATTAGCCAAATGTGACTTGCCACCTGTTTTGTGAATAAAGCTATAATGGAATATGGCCGTACTCACTGTTTATTGTCTATAGCTGTTTTTGTGTTATGGCAGCAGAGTTGAATAGTTGTGACAGAAACTGCATGGCTTGCAAAATCCTACGTAATTTATTATCTGTCTGGCCCTTTATCAGGTCATGTGGAAACTTGTTGACCATATCAAGGATTCTGAGTAAATGGGAACCCATCACAGCACAGTAAGCGTCAAAGTAAAAGGATAAAAGTGAAATAATATATTTTGCACTTCAGGCACCACTCTAAGAGACAAAAAGTAAGAGTAGCCAATTGCTGGAGATACTTGGAGACTTTGGTGCTCTAAAGGCAACGACAAAACCCAAACTCAGCTCCACTCCCAACTAAATCTACTCAACCTCTCAGACTAATGATCTGATAGAAAAAGATGTGTTCTCGTTTATGGATGTAAATATCATTTACCTCAGTCTCTTCTATTTTTTATTTTGTACACAATATTTGGCATTATGAAACACAAAGAAAAGCAAAAGAAAAATCTAACTTATAATCAACAGAGAAGACAATCAAGAGAACCATATTCAAAGGTGATCCAGATGCTGTAACTGACAGGGAATTAAAAAAAAATATGACTAATATATTTTTAAAAATCTAGTTAAAAGGTAGACAACATGCAGGAACTGATGGCTAATTTGAGAAGAGAGATGGAAATTATTAAAAAAAGAGTCAAACGCTAGGAAAAAAATATTGTATCAGAGATAAAGAATTCCCTCAACGGACTTTCCAGTATAGTGGATACAAAAGAATCAGTGAACTAGAAAACAGAAATTACCCATTTTGAACACAAAGAGAAAAAGTAGAAAAAAGAACAAGGCATCCAAGAGGTGCAGGACAATATCAAACAGTCTAACGCATATTATCTGGTGAAGGAAAAGAGAAAAACGATGCAGAAGAAATATTTGAGGAGATAATAGCCAAATATTTTCCAAAATTAATGAAAGACAATAAACCACAGGTCCAAGAAGCCCAGAGACCTCCAAATAGTATTAAAACAAAACAAAACCTAGACATGTCATAGTCAAACTGGTGAAAACTAAAGATATGGAGAAAATCTTGAAGGCAGCAAGAGAAATTTTAAAATTTACATTATCAGGCAAATATAAAACTGAAGGAAAGCCAGTGTAGCGATACTCATTTCAGGAAAAAAAAATTAAAAAAAAAAAAAAAAAAGACTTTAGGGCAAAAATATGTTATGAGATGAAGTTTCTTTACTTAATGATAAAAGAAAAAAAATGCTAGCATACAACTCTCATTCTGTATGGAAAACCATAAAAAATTCTAATTTATTTTCTAACTAATGTACATCTGAGACCATAATTCCAGGACAGGAGTTTAACATTTTCTCAGTCACAGATAGCTTCCTTATTAATTCTCAATACTATATTTCTTAATGTTTCTATCAAAATAGGAAAATGTAAACCACAGAGCCGACAGCTTCACAGATGGTCAATAGTAGTGGGAGATAACTTTTGGCAACAGGCAGAAATCTGATTCAAAAAAGACAGGAGAAATGAAGGAGCCACAGATGCTGACGGTGTTGTTGTAGGGATGTTCTGAAGTTAAAGAGTAAATTCTTAAAACTGTTTTTTAAACAAAAAATATTACATCCTTGGGGATTCACAAAGAA